TCCCCGGTGTTGGACATCGTCGTACGAGGAGATGACCTGGTGGAAGGGGTGTCACCAGCAATGGGGGCACCTTTGTTCAACCGAGCAGAAACACGGGTTGGTGTTGGTGCCTGTTTCTTCGTAACTGCTCGTCCACCAGCTGTCGCCTCCCTGCACATATAAGATGGAGGAAACAAGACGTGGCAATTGTCAGACAGCAAACTCGTTGCCGCGCTTAGCAAAAACAAATGCAAAAAGGGATCAGTCTGTTCCAAAAACGTAGACAAAAAAACTAAAATTAAAGTCGAACCTCCTCCTAGTAGCTACGTGATCGGTCCTACACCTCTTGCCAGGAGAACCCTGCGCAACATCCTCTGGAGCCCTCCCCCTCTTTGATGGCAACACCCCCTCACCTCTCACAGTCGTATGTTTTTTGACTTTCTCCGGTGGGGGGACATCTCGTGCATCCTTGCCCTTTTTACCACCTGCACGAACTTCAACATGTTCATCATCATCGGTGTCCTGTTGCACGTTCTCCATGTCATCGTTGTCATCCTTACTGAGACCAGCGTCTCCATATAGTTCATCTTGTGTGTCAGCAAGCTCTTGGGAACTATTGTAGTCATACCGGCCATGGCAACCAGTTGACCGACGTGTCCATTCTGAGACAAATGTAGTGAACTGTCTCGCAACCGCGTCGCTGTCGGAGCCATTAAGGGACGTCCACCCCTCAATCAACTTCTCGAGCAAGCCGGTCATTCCGGATGCAAACTGCCCAATTAGATGCTCAACAGATGCCCTCGCCTGTGCACGAAACAAGAAGCAGCAGTAACCAACCATATTACAGTCACTAGCACGACATCAAAAATAATGCAAGGCAACCATAGATATATGTCCTTGATTACCTCAGTAGGGCAAGACAGAGCTGAGTGCACGTCCATCCACTTCCCAAAGTTTTGAGGCCCCCCAAACACGCTGTAGTCTATAGCATGCTTGGCCATCAGCTGGAAAAAAACAAAAAAATAGCTAGGATGTAAGAGAGAGAATGATGAACACTGACTAGCAATTCATTTGTTGCAAAATACAAACAAAAAAAGAAGACGTGAATATAAGTTTCAGCACGAATGACAGAGTTGCCATGTGGAGTGAGACATGGATACCATACTCAGACAGCCATGGCTAACAAAGGTAGCCATCTCTTGTTAACCACAGACGGTTGCCACACGATGATATGTTATGCCGCAAAAATTTGTAAGAATGTCGTGTAGAGAAAGAAACTAGAACTAACCTGCAGTTTTCCATATTTGGTATCAGTTATCCTGTCTGCAGCAAGCACAGCCTTGACAGCATCGATAGTCCACGCAAAAACAGCAAACTTGTGCGTAGGCGGCGGGCCTCCTGTCCCAGTGAAATCCACGGTGGACAGATCAAGACAGTCGATGTACATGAGCTGATGTACAACAATTTTAAAAAGAAAGAAATATCAGTTGCGATCATGGTATTTTACGAAAAAATAGGATAATATATATGTTCCTACGATCATCAAGTTGAAGTGTATGAAAAAGAGAGAAAGAACAAGTTGCCATCTGTATGTGCTAGTTGCCATCATAGTGTGATGGCAGTTGCCATATTGTCATGATGGCAGTTGCCATATTGTCATGATGGCAGTTGCCATCATAGTATGATGGCAGTTGCCATATTGTCATGATGGCAATTGCCATATTGTCATTATGGCAGTTGCCATCTTGTTATGATCAGGTTGCCATGCATGAATAAAAGGTGTTAAAAAGAGTGTTCACATAAAGGGCTGGTAAAAAAATACCATTAAATGTAGTCGACAACCCTTCCGGTACATCTTACTTGAGAATGCATCATGCAGGAAGTCGGCAATGAACTTACACCAATTCATGTTCTTCACATCTTTCAGTTTTGCCTGCACCGCACAAAATTCAGGACAACGAGATGCCGCATCAGAAATCAAATGGAAAAAACATCAAAAAACACTGGCAGTGACTAGCTTGCACATGACATCGGAGCAAAAAAATTAAAGGAAAAATAATGTAGTAAATATAGATCATTCACCAGGATGGGGAAGCATTTGTTGCTTGGGTGAAGAGAAGTGGTCGACGCGAAAACAGCTAAGATGAGGTACATGAGTAGTTTCATCTTAAAAACCTCGCCATGGGTTGTCATGGCCTGCAGCGAATCTGCTAGTACAGACGTGTTCGGCATGGATTCCAACCCAGGAAACAAACGGGGGAACAACGTTTCCTCAATCTTGTTATTGATCTCATACGGGACTTTGATTTGTCCACGAGGCACACCCAAAGTGCAGAACACAGATTCCTTGTTCAACGGCAGTCTTTCACATCCCGGAATCACAAATTCCCTGGAGGCGGGGTCGTAAATCTCACCAAGCCAGTCACATACAGGATTGACTAGATTCGTGCACCGGACATTCATCATAGCCTGCATACCCATCTCAGCAGCAGCTCCCTTCTGATCGTCGGTAAATCTGTCAGTTAATGAAGTCAGTCGTTCCTGGGAGGCCCTGTTGCGAGTACGTTTCTTCTTCTGCAAAAAACAGACAAATGACCAGTTGTTGCCATGTTTTCACTGTCATGAAATTTTAGTTCATGACAGACGACTGCAAGCTCGAGGTGGCAACCAATAACATATGCAGGAGGAAGAGGGTGTGTGGATAGTTACCTCGTCGCCCTCTTTTCTCCGTCCAGTTGCCCGATTCCGCTATGGTGGATCCATGAAATCATCATCATCGTTTTGATGATCGCCGCGATCCATTCTGCTGAGGTAAGAACGGACTAAATTATCACTGTGGAAATGAAAATGCAGGAAGTAAGCAGTTGCCACCTAACAGAATGTCCTTGCCGCATGGGCTCGAGTGAAAAATGTCAAATAGTGAATGCAAAAATATCACATGAACACGCACGCACGCACCCCCTATGATTGTCAAAAACATAAATGTGGCAATTAAGCACATTGGTTACATTTGAAAAAAATATACAGATCGTAAATGCACTTAAAAACAAAAATGTTGAAGTTGCCATGTTAGCACAAGATAGTACAAAAAGAAAGTCACAAAATCCTCCACTGCAGAAACCTAAGATGTGGCAGCTTACACCCTGTCCTCATACAACAAATGACTTGCCATGTGTTTCAATGGCAAAAATGTGCTAGGTTGAAATTGCCATGTTAAAATGCAACACAGGTATCACAAGTGTGTTCAAATATTACAAGCGATGAAAAACATCTAATGAACAACCTGAAAATTGCCACAGTGTGTCCAGATATCACAAGTTATCATGGCAGAAACACGAAAATTGTGTCTGTCGTACAATGAATTTGCCACATTATACTGACTGTAACATGGCAACAGACATGCTATGTTCAGACAAAAACTTGCCACATGGAAAGCATATATATGGCATCTGACACAGTTGATGTGCAAATTAGTTGTCATGTTATGTAGCCAATTTGCCACATTATCCTGTCTACAACATGGCAACAGACACAGTGTGTTCATAGTCTATTGCCACAAGAATATACTATCCAGGTGGCAACATGCATAGTTGATGTGCAGATTAGTTGCCATCCAGTGCAATTGGTTACTGAAACTGCAATGACTACCGATTTACTGCACTTTACCATTCCTACAGTGTGACAACTATCACAATCAGTCAGGAAAAATTAGTTGCCACATGGAAAAAGCATGTTTGTGGCAACTATGACAGTCATTCGGGAAATTAGTTGCCGCATGGAAAGGAATGTTTGTGGCAACTATCACAGTCATTCAAGAAATTAGTTGCCGCATGGAAAAGCATGTTTGTGGCAACTATCACAGTCATTTGAAAAAATTAGTTGTCATACAGTCATGATAGTTACTCAAACCACCACGTTTGCTTTCATATTGCAGTTTTGAAAAACAACTAACTAAATCTAGGGTTCAAAGGCAACTGTAATGACTTGAAATTCATCCCCAAAATTCTCCACGAACTGATCGCAAATACCAATTCGAAGCAATGCGCAACTATCAGACCGGAAAACAACGGCCCAATCCCAAGGCACAACCAGTGTGTGTCTCCGGACAGGCAGAACCACACCGGCGAGACCGCCATCGCGGCGGCGACGAAACTGCCCAGTGCCACCGAAAACGGCAAGCATAGGACTCCGCTGCCGGCGGCAACACCGGCCCATCGCCAAATCGCCTGAATCTCTACGAATCTCGAGCGAAGTATCGAACACCGAGGGAAGGGGATAAAAATGCAGGCAAGGATTGTGACAGTGGGAGCGAGCATTACCTTCAATCTGTAGGCGCTCCGGCGAGGCCGCTCCGGTCCGGCGAGCACCATCGACGGCCGTGAACTCCGTCGACTCTTCCGCCTCCGCCGTCGCCTTCTTCCCTCGTCTTCTCCTCCAATCGTCTGAAATGCGAAGTGGGTTGTGCGAGTAACTGTGTGGATGACTAAATGGAACCGTGAGGGGTAGGCGGGCGAAGTGCGTGACGTGTTTGACATCAACCACGGTCGGCGCGTGGCGTGCGGACGCATAGCAGTTCCACCGCACGCCCCCGAGTGGCAACCGCTGACCGCGGGGGGGGAGGGGGGGAACCGACGTGCGGGCGAACTATGTCACACACCACACAGTCGCCTTAACCTACGTGGCACAGAAAATCGGCCAGATTGTGCCAAGATTCGTGCATATAGTACTGGACGGTGATGGATGCGTGTGGTCGAGATGGTCAACGCCCATACGTGTGGGCGTTAACATTTCCGCAAATCAAAAAAGGAAAAACACAGAGAAAAGAATCCCGCAGAGACAGCAACAGTAATGGGCCAGCCCACTGGCCTCGTGTGAGTCGGGCCGCTGCGTGGAGAAAACCCTGCCAATAGTTGCGTGGCGCGCCGCACCGCCTCCGATTCCCCACCCGCCGTCGTCTTGCCTTCTTCCCGACCGCATCCCCATACCAGAATCGCCTCGTCGTTCTCCTTCGCAGTGGAGCAATGCTGGCATCCGAGAGACCACGGACGATGACGTCGTCGGCCTGCACCCCGGAGACTGCCCACGGGGCGCACTTGTTCAAGATCAACAGGTACAGCCTGTACAGGGACTTGGGCGTCGGCAGGTTGATCGAGTCGTCGACCTTCACCGTCGGCGGCTACCACTGGTGCGTCCACTTCTACCCCGACGGTCACACGGGGGCATCCACAGACCATGTTTCAGCTTTCGTGGAGCTCAAAACCAAGAACGCCAAGGCTAGGGCGGTCTTCGATCTGAGGCTAGTCGACTGTCGCACAAAGCCTTATACATTGCCAAACCCTAGCGAGATAGACCCCTCGGAGTTTGACTCATGTGATGATTCCTCGACCTGCTGTGGTTTCCACGATTTCCTGAAGAAGAGCGAGCTCGAAGATTACATCCTGGGTGACGTGCTTGTCATTGAGTGCAATATTGCTGTTATCAAATTAAAGAAGGCAGAGGTGCAGACCACCAAGACGAAATTTGAGGTCCAAGTTCCACGGTCCAACTTGCTGCACAATCTTGGTAATTTGCTAGAAACACAAGAAGGGGCCGATGTGTCTTTCAAGGTCGATGCAGAGGTTTTCCCAGCTCATAAGATCATCCTCGCTATGCAGTCTCCGGTCTTCAAGGCGGAATTCTACGGGCCAATGAAGAACAAGGCTAAGCATGGTCTAACCATTATTGAAGACATGCAGCCTGCTGTTTTCAAGGCACTGCTCCACTTCATCTACACGGATTCATTGGCCCCAATGGATGACCTCAGTGATGACGAGCATGAAGAGATGGTCAAACATCTACTTGTTGCTGCAGATAGGTACGCCATTGACAGGATGAAGCTCATGTGCGAAAGCAAGCTTTGTGATAGACTTTGCACCGAGAACGTGGCGACCACGTTGGCTCTAGCCGACCAGTATCATTGTATCCAGCTCAAAGATGGTTGCATCGAATTTATCAACACTTCTAATAGAATGAGTGATGTGGTGGCAAGCAAAGGGTATGAGCACCTCAAACGGACATGCCCTACTATTGTTGTTGATATATGGGAGAAAGCAGCTAAGACTCGCAAAATTTAGTAGTCTGACCATAGATGAATTTTGTGAAATGTGTTGAAACTTTAGCAAATAGCAGTACATGTCAAGTTATTCTGAAAAATGATTGATTGGTGCCAACTATTTATGCTATGGAGATGCTAGGTAATTATACAAAACTTGTGCAGATTCAAATACCAGTTTTGTTTAGTCAGTCAGCCTCACTGTTCTTTGTTTTTCCTTATCAAGTAGGACAATTATACTTTGTTAAACCAAACAACGTAGAGAGACACTATTTCACTTGCTAAGTTGTTCGAGAGCTAGCACTTCACTTATGGGCACTGCTATGCGCCGGTGCGCCGGCGCAACGATTCAGCCGATCAACCAATGACCGTACGATTTCTATGCGATACATTGACTGCTAGCCATCGGATGTGCTTCCTTGCTTCGTCCGTCTTCTTCATCCTCTTCCTGAAAATACTGCACGGCCGCACATCGAAGCGAGAGGAGGCTGCAGCGCCGTCGACCCCGCCGTAATCTCCCGCAGGCGACCGAGTCCGAAGCACCGCTGCAGACCCCGAGCTCACCGCTGCTCGCCGCCCTCACACAACCTACTCGCGCTCGAAAAAAATCGATCCATGGAGCTTGTAGCACGAATCCTCGCCGGTTCCAGCATGAAAAAGCCTCATCCACAGCATCGCAGCTGCCGCGGCGTCGTGGTCCTCGTCCCCGGGCAGCCGTTCGTCGCTGCAGCTGTGCTTTTGGAGTCGCCGCAGGTCGCAGCTCGCCATGAATGGACGTAGCAAAAAATATGGCCACTCGTAGCAAGAATCTACGATGCTTGCAGCAAAATCATCGATGTCGCCGTGAATGATCGCAGCTCCGCCGTGAATGGACGTAGCAAAATAATTCATCGTACGTAGCAAAAAATCATGATGGTTGCAACAGAATCTTGTCGCCGCCGTCGCGTGGTCGCAACTCAGCCGTGGATGAATGTAGTAAAAAACCTTGCAGGTTGAAGCAAAAATATTAGTCGGTTCCAGCTAAAAGTAACACCGGTTGCAGCAAAAAGTCATTAATCAAGCTAAAAATCTCATTACAAAAACCTCCAAATGGTCATTTGAAGCAAAATACTTGCCGGTTCCAGCTAAATTTAACAGTGGTTGCAATAAAAATGCCACAACAACAAACTTCAAAGAAAAAAGATAGTAGCAAATAGACTAGGTGGTTCCAGCAAAATATAATGCCGGTTGAAGCGAAATTTATTGATGGTTCCAGCAAAAATCATCTTACGGGCTGCTAGATTGAAGCAAAAGGATTTGCCGGTTCCAGCAAAATTTACTGATGGTTTCAGCAAAAATCATCCTACGGGCTACTAGATTGAAAGCAAAAGGATTTGCTAGTTCCAGCAAAAATCATCCTACGGGCTACTAGATTGAAGCAAAAGGATTTGCCGGTTCCAGGAAAATTTACTGATGGTTTCAGCAAAAATCTCATCGGCAGAAAACTCCAACAATCTATTTGTAGCAAATAAATTAGCTAGTTTCAGCAAAAAGAAACACTGGTTCTAGCAAAATCAAATCTCAGCAGCAAACAAAAGCGCCAGTGCCGATCGCAGTTGTCCCCGTCGTCCACCGTTGAAGCTTCTTGGTGCACAACGGGGAGGAGGGGAGGAGTATGGCCTTGCCTATGGACCCCTGCCATGGCTGAAGAAAAGGTTGGGGGCGAACGGCACCACAACAGCGGAGGAGATAGGGGAACAGGGGGAGCAGTTTCCAATCTAAAGCTTGCAGCGGTGGTCGTGTAGCCGCCCTGCAGTGCGCTTGGACATGAGCAGAGCACAGCACCCCGGTGGAATCTGAGGAGAAAAGACGAGAGAGATGGGAAGCAGCTAGCTCAGGCTAGAAGAAAAAAAAACGAGTGGACAGGAAGCTACGCGGTGTAGATAAGAAACGCCGAAAGCGGTGCGCGCGGAGCCCACAGTAGCATGACGTGGCACAAATCGGTGGCGTTAAATCGTGAGGGATCCAGTGACGCACGCGCAACCGGCGCATCGCTTCAGCCGGTCCGCCGGCACGCAACGATTCCCTTCACTTATTGCCCTCCAGTGTTCTTTTCTGCAGCTAACCTTCAAGTTTCAGTGACAGAAAATAAAGCAAAAAACAGTAATGTGTTCTTAGTGCAGAAATTTTCTATGAATTTATTGGCCTTGAGTAGCTAACAAGATGCTTGGTTGAGGAAGATTTATTTGGCACAGCAATGTAGTGCTACTCCATCGGTTCATGGTTGCACTTTTTGTCGATTCCGTTTTCTAAAAAATGTCTCAGCAAGCTATGTTACTTCACTCCAAACATGGGTCACCTTACCTAAATTATGTATGAATTTGTAACACTGATAGTCATATATATCACCCCACTTCAGAGCCTCATGGTCAGGTTGTAGAACGGCATACACATTTGGTTCAAATACCTCTCGCCGTCTCACGTGTTTGTCAGCTGAGCTACGAATGGGGAACCTTCTAGCTAGTTCTGTAGAAACATATTTTTTAAGTGTGGCCTACAAAAAGAAAGGCAAATACGAACAAAAACCGCAATGGTAGTTGTGTTTAGAATTGTCGCTATGTTTTCTCTTTCCTGCGCCACTCGTTCGTAAATTATGACATCCATGGAGTACTCTCACACCAACAAATGAGTAAGTGTCCTTGATTATTTCCCTAGAGAGGCTAACATACATGCTCATCATTTTTTCTAATAATACCATGG